TGCCGTTACACATACCGAAACGCAACTTCCATCGTGGAAATAATGCAGGTTTGTTATTTGTTCACCGATGCAAGCTAATAAAAATTCCGGGGTAAGCCGATGCTCATTCCAGTGATATTACGAGATGTTCAGCGATGTTTTGTTCCACCTCCCTCACATATCAGGGCCAGTGTACTCTCGCATAAAAGCAGCGTGAGGAGACAATAACCTGACAAGTTCTGATCCATAACCGTAAACACTATTTACGATTTCCAAGTCTCCTATCACGCACACCATGAACATGTTAGCCAGGCCGGGAATTCCGGAAAACAATGGCAATCGAGCCTCAGCACATCAAGAGGTGCTGATTTTATGATGATTTCAGGTTTGGGTGTGTGTTATGAGAACCGTTTGGGTGTTATGAGAACACCCGACGTTTCAGGGCACTGCTCATGGTCACGAATAGCAATGTCTTACAATATATCCGCTCATATAATATCGTCGTTCAGCCAATTTTGCTTTTCGCATGCGGAATTTTGCATTTTGCATACGGATTTTAAGCACGCGGAATATCCACGTCTCTTGTCATATCCAGTCCCGGCGGTAACCGAGCTTCGAAAGCCATGTGGTTTTCACGAAAACCAAGCCTACGGATCAAATTGTTTGCGTGGTCTTAAGAACAACCGTCTGACTGTCCAGCGCCGGCGCCCTGGCTCCGTTCCGGGCGTGCCCGCCAAAGGCACCGACTTGGCAGGTGCCCACTCCGCAGTGCACGTTTCCACCTACCAGCGGTGCTTGGCCGGGGCCGCGGCCGCAGCGGACCGGCCGTCCCGCTCTCGAGCCCGGAGCGCCGCCCTCTGTCGGGATTGCAGCCGAGCTGCCAGCGGCAGCCGCCGGCCGGCCGGGCGGCCGGGCGGCCGCCAGACCCAGGTCGATAGGCAACGCTGCGCCGCGCCGCTGCAGCCGGAAGCGGCCTCCTCCGCACCGGCCCGAGCCGACTGCAGGTGTCGGCCGGAGCACAGCACCGCCACACGCCCGGCCCCTCCGGGCTCCTCTGCCGGCGGGGAGAGGTCGGGCGCCGATGCCGCAGGGAGTGGGCAGGTGACCTCTCGGAACGACAGTCCCCTCCGGGCCCCTCTGCCGGCGGGGAGAGGTCGGGTGCTGGCGTCGCAGGGGGTGTGCAGGTGACCTCACGAGACATCCGCCCCCTCCGGGCTCTTTTGCCGACGGGGGGAGGTCAGGCGCCGGCGCCGCAGGGAGTGAGCTGGAAACCTCATGGGACTCTCCGCCCCGCCTCCCAGCTCCTCTGCAGCGCGCGGGCGTGACGTGTGCAGCGACGCTGCGGGGTTCGGGCGGGGCATGTTGGGCGAACTATTGCCGCCCAGTTCCCTGTGGGCGGGAGGCTGGTGGCGGAGGCCTATGATGCGGGCGTGCCAGACGGCCTGGGGGTCGGTGTGATGACCGAGACAATGGGCAGCGCCGACCTTCCATTAGGCCCCGGTCCAGGCATAAAGCGATTTGAGCAGTGTTCGTGAACATTCACCTCTTGTGCTTTTGGCAAGAGGTCTGGCGTTACTGCAGGACTCGTCACGCTGGGCTCTTACTGCAGTCATCCTCCGGGCAAACCTGCCTTAAGCTGCTTCTCAGCTCGCAGTTCCTTCTAAAAGCCCGTACATCCGGACCCACTTCATGCCGGGGTTCTTTGTGGAACCAGCATTCTATTCTGCAGTTGAGACAGGATGGCTGCGCTACTAAGCCCACCTCTGACCTCTCTCCGTAATTCCGTTGCTTCGGGATGGTTTGCGAAGGCCGAAGGAGCTTGAACTTGGTCAACATATGCACGGCTTCAAAAAGATATTTGTTTGGACTTAGATGATCGCGGTTTGTGACGACTGTGTGTAATATTTGAAATGAGCAGGGAAGCTGTGAAGATATTGCCGGACACAGGTCATTTGAGTGACGCCACTTCACAGAAGGCATAGAAACCTGTGTGATAGTCGCGGCAGCAACACTGCGATTTACCACCATCTGTATAACGCTAGGTGTGATAAAAAGTCCTGAAAGTAGCATCCGTTACCCCGCTTCGTTGCCAACCAACTCGATGATCTCCTCCAGAACCCGGGAGATAAACCGCCCGTCCATTCCGGGTGCGTCCCACACAGAAAAATGGGCGCGCCCGACACGGATAGGGGTCGGTCGACGGGCGGTCCCCAATGTGTCTCAGGTCTAGTAGCGGCAGGCCGCCCGCCGTGAAAGCCCCCCTCCCCCCCCCCTCCCCACGTCCTTCCGCGATAAAACTCCTAGATAAACACCGCCCTCAGAGCGGTAATTACAGACTGATTTACGCGTCGGAGGCGGCCTGGGTGGCCACCGGACTGCACTCTGATCAGCACGGATCGGTGGTCGGGGACCACTTCAGCGATGCGACAGAGGACGCACAGAATCCGGAACACGAGCCGGGGCCATCGCGGGTTGGAATCCCCCGGACGTTACCGACGGCTGCCAATGTTTTCGGCGCTGACAGCTTCGCAGCTCACAGACGCAGGCCTTCCATTTGCAGGGGGCGCAGCGCCACAGCGACGACTGCCACCGCCTTATGCAACGACTTTGCAGACATGGCGGCGACAAGGAGCGCGGTTCAGTAGGGGTCCGACCGCGGGCTCACACCCGCTCACACGAGCAGACCCGCGGTGTCCGCCTCAGACCAGGAGCAGGCCATTGAGGCTTGCGTAACAGCGCAGTGTGGATTTACCGCATACTCACACCCCCATGCTCTTAGCGCAGTGCGTAGTCCGTGCCCGATCGAAAGGTATCCATCCCATCGGTACATTTTCGTGAAATACCTGGAATGTGGACCCCTTGATCGCCTTCGGTGCAATCGTAAACATTTAAAGAACATTGCTGAACGTGTCGTGATGCACGCGCTGTACTCGCGCGAGCCCTGTCCCCGTTAATAAGCACCACGAGCCGCCCTCCGTCTGGCGCTCCCACGAAGCCGTGCGCCGCGCACCCCGACCGCCTGCTGGGGCCGTCGCGGCCGGAGCGGGGGCGGCAGCCAGTCCGAGCTGCGGCCGTCCGAGCTATCGCGCCGAGCACCGCGGACGAGCGGCAGTCGATCGCGGCCGGCCGTGAGAACCGACTCCACCTCAGTCAGTCGGCTGCGCTTGGGCGGGACCGCGCGTGGGCGCGCGGGCGCGGCGCCTCGCGACCGCCGGGCGGATCTGGACCCGGACATGTGATGACCGTGCTTCATTGCGGCTGGACACACGCTGCTCACGAACTGGACACTGGACACACGCTGGACACACGCTGGTCAGAGGGCGAAACGGCTGTCGTCGGCGTCGGAGACAGGTGCAAGGATTTGGGGAACAGAGCACAGAGACCGGAGTGTTTTAGAGCAGCAATAGGGGGATGGCCTTTTGTTGCAATGCCAGCTTGCTTTAATGTAAGATTCTGTATTGCAGTGCCCACGGTTCCATGGTTCAAAGCAGCGAACATTGTGCGAATTATCTAATCAGTTAATTATCTAATTATCTAATTAACTATCTAATCAGTTTGTTGGCCGTTGCTTTTAAGACATCTTCTGTCATTCACCTACAGGGTAATTTATACGTTAAGGTGTTCACAGAGCGATTATCTGACAACTACTCAATGACGTTGAGCTGTAAAGACCACTCACAACAATGTATTCATGTCATCATGCATTTTTCGGGAAGCGGGTGGGACTAAGGCTAGGAGGATACGTAGATTTTGCTGGAGTGATCATGCACACTTACAGAACAGACTGCGTGACACATATGGCCCGACATTTGTTCCATCGACCTTGCGTGCCACTGAGTTCAAGGGCCTAAGACCACGCGAGCACGGACACACACGCCATGCAAACATTACCGAAAATATGATTGGGAGCGCGCATCAAAGCATTTGTACTTTTGTGAGAGTTGTTGAATTCTAGCTATGCCCACCCAGAGCCTCAATCAATAACCAGAAGTGTCCGTTTGCCTTGTGCAAGCTACGCTTACCAATGATGACGCCAGTCCAGACATAACCTGGCGCCCTGACGCCTGAGTCAAGCACGCTAGCCTGACTGCATAGTCAGGGCGGCGGGTTAGCCTGACTGCCGAGTCAGGGCAGCAGGCTAGCCTGACTGCCGAGTCAGGGCGGCGGGTTAGCCTGACTGCCGAGTCAGGGCGGCGGGTTAGCCTGACTGCCGAGTCAGGGCAGCAGGCTAGCCTGACTGCCGAGTCAGGGCGGCGGGTTAGCCTAACTGCCGAGTCAGGGCGGCAGGCTAGCCTGACCGCCGAGTCAGGGCGGCGGGTTAGCCTGACTGCCGAGTCAGGGCGGCAGGCTGGCCTGGCTGTCGAGTCAGGGCGGCGGGTTAGCCTTACTGTCGAGTCAGGGCGGCGGGTTAGCCTTACTGTCGAGTCAGGGCGGCAGGCTAGCCTGACTGCCGAGTCAGGGCGGCGGGTTAGCCTTACTGTCGAGTCAGGGCGGCAGGTTAGCCTGACTGCCGAGTCAGGCGGCAGGTTAGCCTGACCCATGAGTCAGGGCGGCAGGTTAGCCTGACTGCTGAGTCAGGGCGGCGGGTTAGCCTGACACATGAGTCAGGCCGACATGCTAGCCTGACTTCTGAGTCAGGGCGGCAGGTTAGCCTGACACATGAGTCAGGGCGGCAGACTAGCCTGACCCATGGGTCAAGGCGACAGGTTAGTCTGACTGCTGAGTCAGGGCGACAGGTTAGCCTGGCACATGAGTCAGGGCGGCAGGTTAACCTGGCACATGAGTCAGGACGGCAGGTTAGCCCGACTCCTGAGTCAGGGCGGCATGTTCACCTGACTCTCGTGTCAGGGCGGTAGCTTATGAGAAAGGACAAATTCCCACACTCCAGGAAGAGTATGCCACCATTGCCGGGTGTCCGGATTTCAAACGCCTGCAATCTTGCGTCTGGATGTATGCTTTGCCCCAGAATGCGTCTCGGTGCTTCCCTAGACTGACGACACATGCAAACCTCGTGTTCCCAGGAGCAAAGGAGACACCAACATATCGGCCATCCTCGACATGTGGCAACAGGGGTACGACAAACGTCTGAGACCCGACTACGGAGGTATGGCCGGCGACTTCCTCTCCGTCCGGTCGATGAGTACCAAAACCGCACTGTTGTCGCCTTTGGCCACAGTGTAATCGGCTTTGCAGAGCCTGATGTGATCGCCTAATTTCCACGATCCATCAGAGTGTTGACTTGCTGACGGGTGGAAAAGGCAGCGGACCGCATCACCCCCGCGGCGAGACGCCGCGGTCCTCTGTGCTCGAGTGCATGCTCCCAGCGCCGACTGATTCAGCGTTTTTATACGACGCAAATGGCTCCCGAAAGTGGGCTCATGCCGGCATAAAAGTGCCTTAATCGGCTGTGCTCCCGCGTAAATCGTGGGATTATGCGGTCCGTTGCGTGGAGAACCTCCGGGCCACTCCGAGAGCGATGAGTGCGCTGTTAGAATCTTGTCGAGCACCCAATCCAATGAGAGCGTCGTCGGTAGTGCCCGAAGAGCAGCGCGTTGATATCCGTTCTGGATACATGGTGTCGTGGTGGCATGTATCAGGTTAATAGGCTGCGCTGTTCTTGACTTGGACATGGCCAGGCTAGTGATGGTATGGATAGACCATGCATGGCGTGCATGTCAGCAGCAACTCCGACAACTCGCTTGCATGTGTCGCTGGCGTGCTTCAAAGGTTACGGTTTCACTTTTCTCGCCAGCGAGCAAATACCCTGTAGTGTGCACTTTTAGCCCTGAGGATGACTGATACAGTTAAAACCGCTGTTTGATCCTGACTGAATGTGACAGCCATTGACAAACGGAGCGGAGCAAATGTTCGCCCCCCTGCGCATTCGTGGAACTATTGAAAAGCAGAGGTCTTCACTGACGCCACTCACTCGACAATTCCTACGTCATGTGACCAATGTGGTTGATGCCTCCGTAATATCTATATATCTATATATCTATATATATATATATATATATATATATATATATATATATATATATATAGAAGTAGTAAAACTTCATGGCAGGAACAGCTGTTGTCATCATTCATGTAACTTCCAACGTTTCGATACATTGCGCATCAGCACCAGAACGAATACAAAGCTGCCGTCAAATGGTAAAACCCCGCATGTTCATTCACGATCATTTTGCGTTTTGTATGTCATTTGGTTCGTTTTCTCAAGCTGAATTCGGTTATTTAAACCATTAATTAAAGTTTTCACAAACGTTTTGCTAAAAAAGCGGCTAAAAGTTTGTGAAAATTTCAACTAATGGTTCGGTAACCCAATTCAGCTGGAGAAGACGAATCAAATGGCATTAACACGCAAAAAAGCCCGACATGAACACGAGGGGTTTTACCTTTGGGCGGAGCATGGTACAAGTTCAGTCAAGTCAACATGAAATATTAGAACATTTAAGCGACATCGCTACAGATGACAACTGCCACAGTTAACATATTCATCACCACCTCTCAGCGCACAAATAGGATTGCTGTCGTTGCCATAAAGTTTTTACAGCTTTCCATATATATATATATATATATATATATATATATATATATATATACATGTACCATGTACATATTATGAGCGTGCGCGCGTGTGTGTGTGCGCGGGTGTGTGCGTCTGCGCGCGTGCGTGTGTGCTTTATGCTTTAGCATTTATAATCATATAGATGCAGAGTGTTCCTGGGTTCGTACCAGCGCGTCTAAAGCCTGCCAGATGTTTTCGCCACTGCAGCGTTCAGCATCTCATTTCGGGCCCGGCAGCGTCACGCGCCTGACAAGAGCCCCGAGCTAATTGCCTGCACACAGCGTGCATCTCTGGGACTGGTCGTGCCAAACGTGACAGTGCCACGGTGCGACGGTGCGCGACAGTGCCGCAGTGCGACGGCACAGGATACGGTGGTCGGCTGAGCCGGAACCGCGGTGTCGCTATCTCTGCGGGGTCATTTCTCGCGTGCCACCGCCGGCCGGGCCCCAAAGTTGGGCTGCCGTTTGAAACAAAGCCAATCTAGATGGCGGGGAACGGGCGGCGGGCCGACCCGTTCGTCTGGCCAGCCCAGCGGAGGTCGTTCGGCGCTCCCACGGCGATCCGACCCCCCCCCCCCCCCCCTCTCCTCCCGGGCGGGGGGAGGGGAGCGCTGGCAAGACGCGGCCCTTGGCGTGGGTGTACGCGGGACGCGTTCTGAGAACGATTCACGGCTCTCCGCTTTGTGGCTCGACTCGGGCGACAGATAGCGGACTGCGGCGGAGAACGGGAGGCGCCGGCGAGGCGGCCGACCGCACAGGCCGGCCCGACGATAAGGAGGCTTTGGTCGAATACATGATGCGGTCCCGCCGTCGCAAACTGGCGAGCTCGGATAAAAGGCACCAGCCAAAGTGTGACGTCGTCCTTTGTGTTTTGCCAGGCAGATGATACCAAGACCGTGCAATGAATGGAATGAGAACTGAGATTTCTAAGAGGTGGCTGAACGTTTTTGTTCTTGGGTGTCGCGAAGAGAACAACTTTAATAAAGCGTTTCTCAGCGTAATTCTTATGATTTTCTATGCTTTGAATGTTCTGTGGTATCTCCATAATCTTTTTCTGAATTGTAACATCAGTTCCATCAGTATTACCCGTACCAGAGTTGAACAGAGGGCTTTGAGAAAACACATCTCAGTTGTTTCCTAGCCCTTCCGAATAGTTCTCTGGATGATCTGCACTCACTTCTCTATGCCAATGGCTGGAAGTGTGTCAGCTGACATCATGCGTCAGGCATGGGAAAGAATGCAAATACTCTTCGCATGGAAAACATGCTATTTCGGAAAGGTCGGCATTAGAAGTATATTGACATGCCTGGTGAAGGCCACCATATGCGGCAGACCACTGGATCCAACACAAACATACTTCAGCGTCATTACCTACGTCCAGAATAATTCACGAACATGCCCGCTCACTGCTGCCTAAGAGTCCCGAAATCAATGCAGCACTGGATCAATATGACTGCATCAAAGCGGTTGGCTCTGCTGATGCTCCCTTAACACTTGTAGATTCGCACACGGACATAAACGGCACGGGCACACATGACAAACATTAGGTGGAACAAACACGTTGTCAACGTCGTGAAAGGCCTTTGGCAGTTCTCGGCAAAAAAAGAACACGAGCGTCAGCCTAGGGCATTACTGATGTACCCATCGGTCCAGGGTCCTGCAATGTCGGACAAACCAGACATTCAGCACGCACACAATGACCTGAAAACAAAGAAAATGCGCATAGTGTCCTTCGCAACACTGACAGTGCCCTGTCCTCTGCCTTGGTGGTAAGTGAATTTCTGCTGACCATATGTTGTTTAAACAGTTCAAACACACTACAGCCCTCACTTGGTGCTCCGTTTAAGGCTGAGAGCTAACAAAACAACATAATAAAGAAGAGCGCGTCGACCGCCAGTGGCCGCCACCAGCTCGGCCGCCGCTCGCCCCTCACGCAGGAGCCACTATGACCTCCTTGGACAAATCTGACATTTGCCCGGCCGAGACGACATCCGTTCCCAGCTGCCAATGGCCGAGGGGGGACGCTGGCGGCTCGCCGGTCGTGTTGCCGGCCGAGTCGGGCGGCCGGCCGGCGGCGCGCCGGGCGTCGGGCCGGCTCCCGGCCTGTGCCGTACCTGTCGGCGCCCGGGCTGGGGCCGCCGCACGCGCCACTAACGTCGGCTTCAGTCGATGTCGGCGGTGGAGCCGCCAGGGAGCGCCGCCTGAGCTTGATCGATTGAGTTGTTGATGACTTTCAGGAGGAAAATGACTTTCAGGCTCGCCAATCGCCTATGCTGTAACATGTATTGAGTATAACACTGAAGTCCTCAAAAGGCCACCCATATATAAATAAATAGGTATATATGTATATATATATATATATATATATATATATATATATATATATATATATATATATATGTATGTGTGTGTGTGTGTGTGTGTGTGTGTGTGTGTGTGTGTGTGTGTGTGTGTGTGTGTGTGTGTGTGTGTGTGTGTGTGTGTGTGTGTGTGTGTGTGTGTGTGTGTGTGTGTGTGTGTGTGTGTGTGTGTGTGTGTGTGTGTGTGTGTGTGTGTGTGTGTGTGTGTGTGTGTGTGTGTGTGTGTGTGTGTGTGTGTGTGTGTGTGTGTGTGTGTGTGTGTGTGTGTGTGTGTGTGTGTGTGTGTGTGTGTGTGTGTGTGTGTGTGTGTGTGTGTGTGTGTGTGTGTGTGTGTGGTGTGTGTGTGTGTGTGTGTGTGTGTGTGTGTGTGTGTGTGTGTGTGTGTGTGTGTGTGTGTGTGTGTGTGTGTGTGTGTGTGTGTGTGGTGTGTGTGTGTGTGTGTGTGTGTGTGTGTGTGTGTGTGTGTGTGTGGTGTGTGTGTGTGTGTGTGTGTGTGGTGTGTGTGTGTGTGTGTGTGTGTGTGTGTGTGTGTGTGTGTGTGTGTGTGTGTGTGTGTGTGTGTTAAACGTGTCTGACGCGCCGGACTTTGGCTAAGTGCTTCTGCATCAAACATAGCGCAGATGTTCTCAGTTCCATCTACCGGGCCTCATAAGCACCTGTCAAAGAGCTGTTGATATCTAGTGCTGCCGCCACGCTGCATTTGCAGTCTTCCTTCGTGTCACGGGCTCTTTTGTCATACAGTACAACGCGGCCGGAAAAGCGGCAGGGGACATTGGACAACAGACCCTTGTCGTTAAATAAAAAAGACGTTAAATAAATGCTCGCTCAGCACGGTCCCTGCATTAAACGGTCAAATGTGACGGAATCACCAACGCCTTGCCTTTAAAAAGCGAGCTAAAATGTCCGCAGGGAACTAAAATGTTCCGTGGGGACCGAGGTGTGGGTGTCACTATCGCTATTATGTTGGCGAAGGTACTACATCCTGTCCAAAGCTGTGTTGGCTGAGTGGTCTTTCGTTGGCAACAATAGAGCGGAATTTGTGTCTGGCATATTTGTTCTGACGTTCTTCGCTGTCAAAACGGCTTAACCTAGTGAACTAGATGCTCTTTGAGCCCAATTCACGGGGCGCCGACGCCGTCTGTGAGCCAAGACAGATAGCTAGCTTATGTGATGA